ACTGCGGAACCCTCTTCACCCCCCCCCCCCCTTATTATTTGTAAAAGGAAAAGGGTTGTTTTAGTCTTTGCGATCTTGCCAGCTGAGGCGGTCCTGGGTGCGAGTCCTGCCTAGAGCAACAGGCAGGCAGGGTTGGGTCGCATTCCTTTTAGTGCACAAGCCAAGGCGGGGAAAATAAATGCAATTTTCCACATTAACCCCGATTTTGCCACTTTTCTTAACGCACATTTCTTAGGACACTTGATCTACGTGAGGTCTCTGCTATGCACATTAAACAGGGAGTGAAACCCATAGAGAAGCAATGCCTAAAGCCGGTCTGGTTTGCGTCTTTTGCTGCCAATCAGAGGAGGTTAAGTGTTGTGTGGCTTCGGATTTCTGATTTAATTCCTTTTTTCTATGCAGTGGAAGTACTAAAGAGCCTCACAGAGGAGAATAGCTTGAAGTTTCCCAGACAGTCCAACTCTTCCTCATTAACTGGCATTTAAAGTTTCAATAACTTACAGACATTTGTAGGAAAAAGGATGCAAACATTTATTCATTCATTCATTCTCCCGCCTTTCTCTTTAAAAAGGACCCATGGCAGCTGGCATAATTAAAAGACAGCATTTAAAGCTAACAAGACTGAGTACTGTATACAAATACTAAAACTTACAGTTGCAAGCAGATCAAGAGCAAACAGATACAGTAACGCTGTTTCCAACTAACAAATTTGTCAAAGGCAACTTCTATAGAGTTTAAGATTTTTTTATATTCCAAGGTTCATTAAACCCCCACATATCAAAGAAACAAAAGAATATCCCTATATATATATAATATATTTAAAGCAAATCCCATTGAATGCAATTGGGCTTACTATAAACTGTATATAGGATTGCACCCTATGGAGCTTTGTTCTATTCAACTATCATTTCTCCTTTCCTCTTTTCCTCTACGTACTGCTTATTGTTAAAGCATATGTGTATTATTTAAATGAATAAAGCTTTTACTATATCATACACAGTAATGTTAATGTTTTTAAAGTTTTAATATTGTTGTGTGCCGCTCAGAGACCGCTGGTTATGGCGGGGCTAAAAAAATATCTTGTAAATAAATAAATAAACAGTATGTGCCAGTCGAACCATTGTGTTTCCTACTTGTATGTTCTGGGTCTCTGTCAGGAGCTACTCTTTTTTTAGGTGCTCTGTTTTTGTTTGTTTCCAACACATGTAATCAGAACAATCAAACCACCATGCACCTTGCAGCTTTAAACTTCTCTTCCTTTTCCACTTTCTCAATATTGTTCAGTGGATTGAGCCGACAGCTTAGACACTTCATGATATTGGGAAATTAAACACTTCCTTTGCGCCTCCATGGAGGGATAAGGTTATTTTCAAAGCCTATCAGAACAATACTGATGCACTATACCTTTTAGGGGGGGAAATTGAAAGGAGGATGAGAGAGCAAGGAGTGGGATTTTTTTTTCCTTAAGGAAGGCGGGCCAAATAAGGTCGAATGAGGTGCACATGCCACGTGGATGCAAGGATGGCAACCAATGACGTGGACCTTAACCTGCTCCTCAAACTCACAGATACAGATTTTTCCAGTTTGTTTTCTGGCCCACATCCTTATTCCTTTTTTTTTTAAAGAGTGTCACATAGCACCTCGATTTTATTTCTCATAATAAACTATCTGGGGATGATTTGTCCTGGGCCAGACGTTTCTAAATCCTCGATCGTAAAGTAAAACAAAGCCAAACAACGAATTCCTTCCCCGTTCTCCACAGACAGTTGGTCTCCTGTCCCTGTTTATGCGGGGATGCCTTCCCTAGGAAGGGCGGAACCATTCTACGCGCTCCCTGTTGCGCAGAGGAGCTATTTGTGTGCCGGACCCCAGGAGCGACTTTTGATCCTTCGGAGCGATGGCGGGGTCCGGTGAGGAGTGGAAGGCGCCGAGATTGAAGCACCGGCGGACTACTCTCGAACGGGTCGAGAAATTTGTCTCCGACACTTACTTCCTCGACTGTAACCTCAGGGGCAGGTGGGCCGGGGTCGGTCCGGTTGCTAAAACCTTCCCCCTCTGTTCGCGCCCCCCTCTTTTCAAAACCAGGGAGTTTGATGTTGATGCTGATAGTTTAAAATAGTTTAGAGCTGAGCTGATTTGCCTGGGGGTCCTGGAAGTTGCAGTCCAAAAACACAAGCCTGTACATCTTTACTATCAGTTTAAACAAGCAGACAAAGCCCTTCTTGCTAGCAAGCTTTTTAGATGAATTGTCATGCATTACTTCTTTGACTGGATTTTTTTGTACTGCTTGAGTTTTCCATTTCTCAGAGTAGCATTTTAAATATATATATATATTTGTACACGTCCTTAGCTTTAATATTGCCTTTTAATGCTGTAAGATGCCTCTATACTCCTTGTTTCTAGCTTTAATTATTGTCTTTTAATTGATGTTAACCACCGTTGTACTATACTCATTGCTTTCAACTTTAAATATTGTCTTTCAATGTTGTAGAGGACTGCCTTGGGTCCTGTTCAAAGAGAAAGGTGGGGTAAAAATATAAATAAGTAAGCCAAAGAATCTGGAGGAAACTCCTGTATTTTACTATCAGAGGCTACCATGGCATCTCTGTTCTGTTCCTAGCTTCTGCATAGCCTCCTGGAGCATTCAGTTTCAGAGCATTTTGGCTGGAGTCGTTTTAGCTTTGTGTCGTGAAAAATGTTCATTTCTCCATAACGCTAAAAGTGTGGAAGCCAATAAGCTTCCCTGTCTGTGAACTGACCACGTACATGGATTGGATGGGATGGGTTAGGGTCGGGTTGCCAAATTTTTTGACCAGCCCCTTTACTTGTCCTTTTTAAAACAATTTGATCTGCAGCAGTTTATGGAAATATCAGATTTAGGTCTGTTCTTTGCAAAGCATCATGTACTAATTTCATATCAAACTTTTGTTAAAATCACATGCTGATCATACATACTCTGCCAGCCTCCTTAATAGCCACCTTCCACAAAGGGAAAGACGTAAGCCACCAATGCAGGGAAAAAGGAAGAGAAAAACTCTTAATTTATTGTTGAGGAATTTTCAGCCCTCCTGATGTTTTGGACTACGACTTCCCTAAGCCCCAACAAACACGGCCAGTGGTCAAGGATTTGTAGGAGTCACAGTCCATAAGAACTGGCAAGCATGAAGTCATCAGGCCTTACCATAGATCTTGTCGTGTCAAGTACCAGTTTGATGAGCTGATGAAGGCATGGCTATGTGTTTTTAATTTTAGGTTGTTTGGTGACACCTGCCCATTGACATCTCTCTCTTGCTTTGAAACCTCTCAACGTATTCCATATCATGTTGCTGTAAAACAGAAATTCAGACCTATAAAAGTTGGAGAGTGCTTTGGATGCACGTAAGTATTCACTCCTAGGACGAGCGACTTGGGATGCTTGAACAGACATCTGTTATGTTACATCTTTGGTCAGAATTTTTGTGTGGCTTGGTTGCTCCGTGTGAAATATAGGACACGTCACAGGCCTTGGCATGTTTACTTGAAAGCCCCACAGTGCTCAGTGAACAAAAACAGCTATTCTGTAAATGGCTTCTTCTAATTTGAAACCAAGAATTTTGAAATTTGTGGCTTGATTATATTTGTTCTTGGATTTCTTCTCTTTGCTTATACCCAGGGGTCATTTTCTTTCAACAGAAACAACAGATTCTTGAGGCAACCTAAAGACTAGCAAATTTTATTTGGAGGCCTTTGTAGACTGTAGTCCACAGCATCCAACATCAAGTAAAACTTGTTAGCCTTTTGGGTGTCACAAAAGTCTGCGTTATTTAAGTGCCTCGTGTTGCAATGTTTAAACTTTATAGTCAGGACTGTTCATCGCCTGAGTTTGAATCTAACCAGCTCAGGTAACTAACTGGCTCTGTATAAATGTATGTTAATATCTGTTAGTATATATCTTTTTGTTTTTGTTTTTTTGCTAAGTCCTTGCTTGGCACGTACATCCAATTGGTATAATCCATAAAAAGACCAAAAACAGAATTTACACACTAGATTAAAGCAGACACTTATGTAGGTCCATCAATGTAGGCCCTGTTTTGTTTTTAATTTTCTCATGAATGTTTGTGCTCTCTTGCAGTCAAATTGTTGCACAGCCATTTATTGAATTAACTGTACAGTAGTTCCAGTGAGATTATTGCTCTGTGGAAGTTCTGAATAACCTTTGCATTTAATCTGTCTTTCTGAAAGTATGTACATCTCTTCCCTAAGGTGGCATACCTGTTGGTTTAAAGTGGAGCTCTGTGTCCCCAAAGAATGGACAGGAAAGGAAGTTCACCTTCTCTGGGAAAGTGAAGGCGAGGGGATGGTTTGGAAGGAGGGCCAACCTGTTCAGGTAAGGGACTGTCATGAAACCATCACGAGCTAACATGTCAAGTGTGATTGATTGGCGACTGTTCATCGCCTGAGTTTGAATCTAACTAGCTCAGGTAACTAACTTGCTCTGTATAAATGTAAGTTAATATCTGTTAGTATCTCTCTTTGCTTTGTTTTTTTTTTTTGCTAAGTCCTTGCTTCGCACGTACATCCGATTGGTATAATCCATAAAAAGACCCAAAACAGAATTTACACACTAGATTAAAGCAGACACTTATGTAGGTCCATCAATGTAGGCCCTGTTTTGTTTTTAATTTTCTCATGAATGTTTGTGCTCTCTTGCAGTCAAATTGTTGCACAGCCATTTATTGAATTAACTGTACAGTAGTTCCAGTGAGATTATTGCTCTGTGGAAGTTCTGAATAACCTTTGCATTTAATCTGTCTTTCTGAAAGTATGTACATCTCTTCCCTAAGGTGGCATACCTGTTGGTTTAAAGTGGAGCTCTGTGTCCCCAAAGAATGGACAGGAAAGGAAGTTCACCTTCTCTGGGAAAGTGAAGGCGAGGGGATGGTTTGGAAGGAGGGCCAACCTGTTCAGGTAAGGGACTGTCATGAAACCATCACGAGCTAACATGTCAAGTGTGATTGATTGGCTGACCCGTTTGATCATCATGAAGCCACTCTGTCTTAACCTACCCCCTTAAACAATTTTTAAAGAAAGATGCTGGATCATCTTAGTGGAGCTCTGTGTCCCCAAAGAATGGACAGGAAAGGAAGTTCACCTTCTCTGGGAAAGTGAAGGCGAGGGGATGGTTTGGAAGGAGGGCCAACCTGTTCAGGTAAATGACTGTCATGAAACCATCACAAGCTAACATGTCAAGTGTGATTGATTGGCTGACCCGTTTGATCATCATGAAGCCACTCCGTCTTAACCTACCCCCTTAAACATTTTTTTAAAGAAATATGTTGGATCATCTTCAAAAGGTACCTAATAAACATATTACTGTTTACAAACCTATTTTTCTCCTATTTCTCTCCCTACCTTTTTATAATAAAAATTAAGAGCTTAGAGAGGTCTGTAAGTCAAGGGTCCACTGTACCTAATAAACATATTACTCTTTACAAACCTATTTTTCTCCTATTTCTGTCCCTACCTTTTTATCAAAAAAATTAAGAGCTTAGAGAAGGTCAGCATCTGTAACTCAGTTTCGAGCCACATATTCAGGCTAATGAAAGACTTGATCTGTAACCTTTACAGCTTCTGAAGCCTTTGCATACACCCCTATGGACATAATATCTGGCTTTCCTCATATACGTTGAGCTGTTTACGTTTGTTCTAAGGTGACAGGAATCAGTATGATTCAGCTGAGACAAGGGTCGGATCTTTGAGTTTCAACCAGTCTTCCCCCCCCCCCCAAGACAGACAGCAGTTATTGACTATGCATCCTGGCAAATGACATTTGTTGCAAACTGATAGAGCCTCGTGGCACAGTGGTTGAACTGCAGCACTGCAGCCAAGACTCTGCTCACGACCCAGGTTCAGTCCCAAATAGCCGACTCAAGGTTGACTCAGCCTTCTGAGACTGGTGAATGGAATACTCACCTTCCTGAAAGCAACCCTTCTGTCTGCTGGGAAATTACTCCAGCATGCCCTTCAAAAGCAGAAACTCAAAAGCTGAACCGAAAAGCTCCAGCTTGGGAAAAGATTGGGATCAGGCTGGGATCCCATGACATACACATTTCCTGGACTGCTCCATGGGCAAGCCCATTTGTGATCTATTTTCCCTATGTGATCACATCCTCAATTTCCCTATTAGCCTCAGAAGCAGGAAAGGCCGTTCCTCTGCACCCAGTCAGAAATTCAAGATAGTAAAGAGGAAGAGACTGCCCTTTGGAGTAGACCTCCTGGGGTCCTCCAGCTTGCATGGGGCCATGCTGGCTGGTGACTCTGGGAAGTTTAACCCCAAAATATGACTTTTCAGGCTATCTTCTTTTTCCTTGCCTTCTAAGAAGAGAATGCTCTGAATTTCCATTGGGTGGGGGTGCAGGCTTATTAGCATGAGCTTATTTTCAAGTCTTGCTTTTCCCCAGTTTTTCTCCCATTTTTTTTCCTGCTTTGCCATTGGCAGGGTTTAACGACAGAAGGGGAGAAAACGAGTTATTTATTAACCGAGAGCCTAAAGGAAACAGATCCTCACAGGTGAGCAGTTCTAAGGTTTCAAAGATTTCCTAGACAGCACTTTTGTTTGTGTTGTTTTCTGATTGTTCATTTTTAAAAAACAAATGCAGAACCAGCTTGATTTTTAAAATTACTGGGGGGGGGCATTGGGATGGGTTTTTTCAAGCTTTATGCTGTTTCTCTCATCCATCATGTGTCCTTTTCAAAACAAGGAATGAGTAACACGGTGGGTTTTAACATTTCAAGCAACAAGCAACTCCAAAACATCTTGCATTTTAAAACACTTCAACACAAATCCAAGGGCCAGTTTCTGAACCCACCTCCAGAGTGACACAGACCATCAGAAATGCAGAGACAAGAACAAAGAAATTGTAAGAGGGCTGGAAATCCACTTGGAAAATAGGGAAGGGGAAAACTCCTTGTCTTAGATCCTTCGCATAAGTGGAGGGGCCACCAGGTTTAAGGAGGCTGTATTAAACTACAGAGGGGTGAGATTTCTGTATTCTCTTATGCCTGCAGCTTGACCTTATATGTGGAGGTTGCCTGCAATGGTCTCTTTGGAGCTGGGAAGGGTAGCATGATTGCACCCCCAGATCCAGACAAGAAATTCTCTCTGCACAAAGCAGAACTGGTCATTTACAACAGGGATGTTCATGAGCTTCTGGTGGACTTTGAGATCCTTTTGGACATGGCCAAGGTAAAAAGTTGTCTTTTTAAAATCATTGTTGTGATTTTTTGGGGGGTGGGGGTAGAGGCAGGGGCTAGTTTTAGTGAAGGAGTCAGCAACCTCATGCCCTCCAGATGTTGTTAGAACTCTCATTTATTGGTTCTAGCCAGCATAGTCCAGGGTGAACAACACTGGGAGTTGCAGACGAACACCGTCTGGAGGGCCACAAGTTGACCAATGCTGCTCAACTTGAAATGGACCGGTCCAACCCGCCAGCCAGCCGTGGTGGGATTTTAAAACTAAATAAGTAAATAGCTTAGAATCAGTAAGAATCATCCCTCTGGAAGCCTTTAAGGTGAGGCTTTTCAATGAAAGCAAGGCCTTGCGATGTCATCTTTTTCTGGAGGGGGGTGGGTTCAAGACCAGGTGAGGATGTCTGGTTACTTTCAGGTTGGAGGGGGGAAAGTACAACACCTTTTGAATGCGGGTAGAGGTCAGAGCAGCACTGGATCCCCAAATTCTCCAAAGGATGGTAGATTAGATGCTTGTACAAAACAGCTGTCTTTAAACTGAAGCAGTTTACTTATTAACTGTTAGAGCGGTATGACAATGGAACCCATAACCTCGGGGATGGTGAGTGCTCCCAACGGTGGAGGCATTCAGGAGAAAATTGGGCAACCCACTATCAGATCTGTTTTGATTTGGATTCCCACCCTGAGCAGGGGGTTAGACCCAATGGCCTTATAGATCCCTTTCCAACCCAGTTCTTCTGTGGTTCTATGATTGTGCTCTGCTTGGTGGTCAGTCCCATTAAAGGCCTTTTAATAAGCGTGTGCTGAATTGTAGACAGAGCCAAGAATTTATTCTGCTTCAGCATCACTGGACCATCCGTGCGAAGTGCTGCGAACATTAACGAATGGCACTCTTCATGTGGATTTGGGATTTGGCAATTAGTCTCCAAATACAGGAATTGTGCTTTGAGGAGGTTTGTTCTGCCTGTTTGTTTTGCCAGCCTAGCGATACATGATTGTCTTTGTAACGTAGCTCCTCGGGGAGGAGAACCAGCGCAGTTTCCAGGCACTTTATGCAGCCAATGAAATGGTTAATCTGTGCAATGTCACCAACTCGCGGACTTTCCGTGCGGTGCGCAAGGTTGCCTCCTCTGTCTTCAGTCAAAAGAATGGAGAGAGCCAGCACATCATCCACGCAATGGGCCACTGCCACATTGATTCGGGTAAGAGGGGATGATTAGGGGAGGCCTACTTCAGCCCAAGAGTCAGCTGGGACGTCAGGCACCATTGGACAGAGGAGAGTGTGGGAAAGGGGTCGTGTTCGGTCTGCAGTGAGCTGGTAGGTTTTGAGGTCCATAAAATATAGGCAACATGTGTAAGAGGTATTGTTTGGTTTGCTGCTTCGAGAATCTTCTGGCCGGAGGAACTTTTCCAAGCTGTGACTAAAAGGAAGCAGAGTTCAGCCTCTGTCTGTTTGTCTACTGGGAGAGGAGCCCCATCAATGATCTGCAAATTCAGCAATGCGACTCATGCTTGATTGGCTTACTTTTGTTTCCAAGGAGCGTATTTCATTTTGTTCTGGTGATGCTGGATCCTTCATTCGATCCTCCACGGGGCCTTCTTGAGAGGGGCTGAACTCGATGATCCATAGGGACCCTTCCAGCTCTGCAGTTTATTATTAGCTTAGATTGATTCGGGTAAGAGGGGATGATTAGGGGAGGCCTACTTCAGCCCAAGAGTCAGCTGGGACGTCAGGCACCATTGGACAGAGGAGAGTGTGGGAAAGGGGTCGTGTTCGGTCTGCAGTGAGCTGGTAGGTTTTGAGGTCCATAAAATACAGTATAGGCAACGTGTGTAAGAGGTATTGTTTGGGTTGCCGCTTCGAGAATCTTGTGGCTGGAGGATTCTCAGGGTGGTTGTTCAAAAAAGTAACTTTTGAGCTGGTAGGTTTTGAGGTCCATAAAATATAGGCAACATGTGTAAGAGGTATTGTTTGGTTTGCTGCTTCGAGAATCTTCTGGCCGGAGGAACTTTTCCAAGCTGTGACTAAAAGGAAGCAGAGTTCAGCCTCTGTCTGTTTGTCTACTGGGAGAGGAGCCCCATCAATGATCTGCAAATTCAGCAATGCGACTCATGCTTGATTGGCTTACTTTTGTTTCCAAGGAGCGTATTTCATTTTGTTCTGGTGATGCTGGATCCTTCATTCGATCCTCCACGGGGCCTTCTTGAGAGGGGCTGAACTCGATGATCCATAGGGACCCTTCCAGCTCTGCAGTTTATTATTAGCTTAGGGGATCAGAGGTTGGGAGTTTGATTCCCCTGTGGGCCTCCTTTATAAGGGCTGGACTTGATGATCAATAAAGTCTCTTCCTGCTCTGCGATTCTAAGATGAGGAGGATTAAGGGGGGAGAGGAATGGGAGGGGGGAGAGGACTTCAAGACCAGCACTTGGAAAGTTACTTTAAAAAAGTATTACGGTTACTCACCATTACTCACCATTACTGCGTATGAAAACGGCTGATTGAGATTCCTTGTAAAACGGCTGTAGTAGAAACGTGTCGCCTTGATTGGTGCAAAACTCATTTCCTTTCATTCCTTGCTTTGGGGAAGGGGAAATCTTAGGGTTAATAGGAGACGGCAATAAGAATTTCAAAACTCCCGTGACAAAGCCTTGAAGTGCCCTTAAAAAGCAAGTTTGGAAAAGTCAGTAGAAAAGGCAACTTGCTGTGTTAGTACGATCACTTTGCTTCTGCTTCTTGCATCAGTTTTGAAATTTAACAATGTTGTGGTTCCCCTAAAAATCAAGGAGTTAGAGGGGACTACGTTATTTGCAACTACAGTGGTGCCCTGCTTGACGACGATAATCCATACCATTAAAATCGCTGTTAAGCGATATCGTCATCAAGCGAAAGTAAAAAACCCATTGAAATGCATTGAAAACTGCTCAATGCGTTCCAGTGGGTGAAATACCTCATTGTAAGGCGAAGATCCTCCATAGGGGAAGCCATTTTCCATCGCTGTCTTCTGGAAATAGGACCAGAAAACAGCGGGAGGCCATTTTGAAAACCTGACGATCAGCTGTTGTTGATTGTCATGAAGTGAAAAATCAGTTCCCGAAGCAGGGAACTGATTGTCGTCAAACAAAAAACCCAATTGAATCATCGTTTTGCAATCGCAATAGCGATTGCAAAAAAAGTTCGCCATCCAGCGGATTCGTCGTCTAACGGGGTCGTCGTGAAGCGGGGCACCACTGTAGTTACTTCCTAGGGTTTTCCTCTCTGACAATACCCCATATATTACGAGACAAGTGGCCAAATTTTGTGCTGCAGCAGTGGTTATTCCTGTTCAGATGTTTGGGTAGGTGATTTTAGATGGATAATATAATGCTTTTAATATAACACTGGCCGAGGTTTTACTTATAATAAAGATTTACGATGTTATTAACTGGAAAGTAGGGGCTGTTTTATCATGTTTTAATGGAAATTCTACAATTCTGTCTGATTTTACAAAACTACAATTATATGTGTGTATTTTATATTGATTTGGTTTTACTGGTCTTTGACCATAATAAAGTATTCATTCCTAGGCCTGTTGAAGACAGGCATTAGGGTATACAGCTATTACAAAAAGCAAAATCAACATGACAGTGAATGTCTGCTTACAATTTTGGTTTTAGCCTGGCTGTGGCCTTACGAGGAGACAATCCGCAAATGTGCCCGCAGCTGGGTGACTGTCGTACGCCTGATGGAAAAGAACCCAGAATTCACGTTTGTCTGCTCGCAGGTACTGATACGTGACGCACCCCTGGGTTTCATTTGCTCGCCTTTGCAATTTAAACTTTAAGACTGATTAAAATACTTTGAATGATTAAACACTTGTCAAACATTAAGGCTACCTTAAATATAAAATGGCATTCAGGGACTTCTACCGTCAGTTAAAGATGTACAGTGGCGCCCTGCATAGCGACGTTAATCCGTTCCGGATTAATCGTCGCTATGTGGAAACTTTGTTTAATGCGTTCGTATGGGGCCCAAACTCACCGTTCAGCGAAGATCCTCCATAGCGCCGCCATTTTCGCGCCCTCGGTAAGCGAGGAAACTGCGCGAAAATGGTTGTGGTGGCATTTTGGGCACCTGGTGGCCATTTTGGAACCACCAATCAGCTGTTTAAAAAACATCGCAATGCGATGTTTTGCCCATTAAAACATCGCAATGCTATCGCATTAGTGATCTAAAAAAATAGATCGCTATGCAGATTTGTCATTAAATGGTGCGCTCGTTATGCGAGGCACCACTGTATCTCTTTCCATAGGTATTTCACTGATGGTTAACATTGCCCCTGGATTTTTAATGGCTTTTGTTATTTTCAGGGACTTCTACCGTCAGTTAAAGATGTATCTCTTTCCACGGGTATTTCACTGATGCTTAACATTGCCCCTGGATTTTTAATGGCTTTTGTTATTTTAATCTACCTCTTTATATAACGAAAAGGAATATGAAAATTATTTAATTTTTGTTTGTCTTTCTCTCTGTCTCTGACCTTCTCTCTCCCCCCCAGTGATCAAAATAATTAGAATGTTCCAGTCTTAACTCTGCTATCTCTCAAAATTTCTTGAAATCTAGAAGCCTCTACTTTGTTTTTTTTCCCCCATGTGTAAGCCATAAAAGTTGAAGGGGGACCATTTTTTCCCATGACCTGCAGGGTGTGACTACCTTCTTTTTTGCAGGCTCAGCAGTTTGAGTGGGTGAAGAACTGGTATCCTGGACTGTACGCTGCAATTCAAAACTTTGTCAAAGAAGGTCGTTTCATACCTGTTGGGGGCACCTGGGTAGAAATGGTAAGGAGGCAGTTCCCTCCCCATTCCCATTCCTGGTAGGCCAAACCAAGTGAAAGTCAAATGGCAAACTCAAATTCATAAAGATTGGGATGTCACTGTCATTCCCTAATCCCTGCAGTCTGATATTCTGTAGGAAGCAAAGTGGCATGTCAAGATGATCCTTGTTTGCTTGCGGTGGTCATGCTTCAGAAGGAGTCATTGCTCAAGATGATTACAACGGTTGCTGTTTATTCAACATCCAACTGGCTGGATAGCTCAAGGAGTTAGGTCTCTGGCTGTGCAGCCAGAGGTGGGGAGTTCGATTCCCCCACGGTGTTCCTCCAGGGAGAAGAGCCAGCCTGGGTGGCCTTGGGCCAGCTGCACAGTCGCAGGGCGCCCCCTAGAGGAAGGGAATGGGAAACCACTTCTGTGTACTGTGCCTGCTAAAAATATTTTAAAAATACAGGGAGAACAATGAAAACATGGAACACTTGCTTATATGCTGAAATGTTGCACAGACATCTTTCCCCAGCGTCACCCTTTCAACCTGCTAGATCATCCCAAGGGAGGTTCCTTTGGGTGCCCTGTGTTTTATGAAGTTTGAGGAATGAGGGTGGAAAGAGAAAAGGGACAGATGTTTTCACAAAATGACGCAGGTTTGCGATTCTCCCTCAGGATGGGAACCTGCCAAGCGGAGAATCCATGGTCCGCCAGTTTCTGCAGGGGCAGAGATTCTTCCAACAGGAATTTGGGAAGCCCTGTCAAGAGGTAGGTGCCCCTTCCTCTCGCTTCTCCATCCCTTGCGTCTAACTCTGGAACATCCTGGCTGGTGTTTCACGCTGTGTTTTCTTCCCTCCTCAGTTTTGGCTGCCAGACACATTTGGCTACTCGGCGCAGCTCCCCCAAGTGATGCGCGGCTGTGGGATCCACCGTTTCCTCACTCAGAAACTTAGCTGGAACCTGGTGAACACTTTCCCAGTGTGTGGCTTTTTTCTCTCTCTCTTGATCCTCCTGTTGCCGTGATGGTGATCTGTTGTGTTTTATTTTTTTAGTGTGGCATCTGACCCTTCAAAAATTATTGGTATAGTAATTGTGTTTAGCCTTTAAATAGTGTATTTCATTGAAATAAGCTGCCTTGGGTCCTCTTTAAGGAGAAAGGTGGTGTAAAAATATTAGAAATTAATAAATAAGTAGATAACCGTCTCGAGTATTCTTGGGAATTAGCCCATGGAAGTTAATGGGGCATCTGTTAACCCCTACAGGTTTGGGCTCTTATTGGGTTCTTCTGTTTCCTTTTCCTTTTTTATTATTTTTGCAGCACAACACTTTTTTCTGGGAAGGGATTGATGGCTCCCAAGTTTTGACCCATTTCCCCCCCGCAGATTCTTATGGGCTGGCTGGTCGTGTGGAAGAGGTAAGCAAAGCAGGCTTCTATACCCATGCTATATTTCCCCCTCCCTAGAAAGGCAAGTCAGGGACGTGGTGGCGCTGCAGGCTAAAC